ATAATTAGTTGGAGTTATTTCCAAACGATTATTTCAAAAATGTACAAAACCTTCGCCGTTGGTCTACAGACTATGCTTTCAATCAATTAAGAAAACCAAACCTTAAGGGAGAGTAAGTATTAGATTTGCAATTATGAGGGTTTCAATCATATAAACGGTTAATGAATACAATTATGAGATGTTATCGCAATGCATATTAATCATACAATTATACAATTATTTTTATTATGAATTTTATTTGTTGGAAATAATTATCATGTTTGAATTACTCGTTGACCTAATGGTCGATTAGGCATTTAATATAATCACTGATTATTAATTAGTAGTTAAATGTTTCATATTACACAATATCCACACAATTATTTTTAACTAAAATGACTGCTTATAATTGGGTTTATCGGCTGTTTGTATGGTTTAAATGATTGTTATATTAATGAAAACATTTTCTAATTGATGATATAGTTGGAGAAAACACGCCAGAGCTGCAGGTATGCTATCAATCATTACAACTTCTTATATAACTATTTATTTCAAATCCAATTAAAAATTACAAAAAATATATATATTTATAAATGATAAATGGTAAATTACACTTTTAAACCTGCAAAATTAGAATGTATATATTTTATGTGAATCTCTTTTTTTAAAACATGAATATAAAAATTATAGACATGACATTTACAAAATAATTTATAATATGGTTATATTTAAACATCAAACAAATATGTGACAATTAATGATGAATATTATGGACTAATTATGCAAATATTGTCAAAATTTAATTGATTTCAGTCGTAAACGCATACTATAATGCATTGGAGAATAGTATAGAATTCCCAGCTGGTATTTTACAAGGATCATTTTTCAGCAGAGATAAGCCTAAGTAATATTCTTATAATATTCTGTTGATATTGTTATTAAAATAAACTCAATGTTTTTACAGTTACCTTAATTTTGGTGGCATTGGGTTTGTGATCGGACACGAGGTTTGTTTTTATCACAACTATGACAATTAACTATAATTTAATATATAATTGACTTTAAATTAGATTACACACGGATTTGATGATAGGGGTAAGCGATACTATTATCCAACATTAATATTGTTTGAAATGACTAAACAATATAATTGTATGGATGTATAGGCCGTCAGTTTGACAAAGATGGAAACAACAAGAATTGGTGGGACTCTCAGACTGACAGCAACTTTAAAGACAGGGCTCA